TTTGCAAAGTGAGATTTGCAACACTTGGAACAATCAAAACAAAAAATCACAACCACTTGGGTACTCACCATGCGGGTCATGTGCCTTGCCCTCAAAGACACTCCCCTGCTTAGTGTTCCCATGGGAGCTAATCAGTGACAGCCTTGTCACAATGTGTCTTTTAAAAAGTAAAATTTAACCTTTATTTGCCTAATGGATTATCTTATTAATGCAATAGTAACTAAGGACATACACAGAGGGTGCCAAAAAAATGTAAACATAGTTTAAGAAAGGAAAAGACTGTTAAAATTGTAATACTCGGGCCGGATGTGGTGGCTCACATCAGTAATCCTAACATCCTGGGAGCCCGAGGAGGGTGAATCCCTTGAGCTCAGGAGTTTAAAACCAGCCTGAGCAAGATTGAGACCCCTGTCTCTGAAAATAGCTGGGCATTGTGGCAGGCTCCTGAAGTCCCAGCTACTTGGGAGGCTGAGGCAAGAGGATTGCTTAAACTCAAGAGTTTGAGGTTGTTGTAAGCTACGACGCTATGGCACTGTACCCAGGGCGAAAAAATAAGACTGTCTCAAAAAAAAAAAAAATCGTAATACTCTAGTCACGTTTGACTTTTGCGATTATGAGTTGCAATATGCAATATATAAGATAACAAACATTACTGGTATATGATGAGTATTACAATTTAATACAGTTTTTTCCTTTTTTGAGACGTCTCCTGTTGCCTTTGGGGAGGATGAAGGCACTCTATAGCTGGGTCTAGAGAGATTTAGGGGGAGAATTACAGAACAAAATCCCCAGGGGTACATCCCCCTCGACATCTTGGAAGCAGTCTCTGTTTTCAAAGAACACTGTCTTTGCCCCATTCCCAGCTGCTTGGTCTGTCCCCACAACCTGCAGCTGTACACATCTGTATTGTCTCCTGGCTGCTCCTACAGAACACCAGCTGGGGGCTGTCGTTGTCACCTGTGGAGCCCATGAGAGGCAAGGGTGGCCAAGGCCAGAGCTGTGAGGCAGTCAGAGGAGGACAGGCAGAGGTGTCAGGCCCAGCCCAACTATTGGGGATTGGCCTTGGGGCCCAGCCTTGGCCTGCAGCTGTGACCAGCTGCGGCCTCCTGCAGGCCCTTCCCATGTCCTGTCCATTCTCTCTCCCTTGGGAGAGCCGCCCTGTCCCCTGTCTTCCAGCCTGTTCCCACACATGCCTCTTTAGCCAGGCTGCGGGGAGGGTTCTGGGAAACTTTGGTGAGCACTGGGGCTTGCCAGGGATGGTGAAGTGGAAAGAAAGTTCTGGCTCTGCTGTGGAGCCCACTCCCTCGTTGTGGAACCTGTTTTCTGTTTGGGAATATAGCGGGTCATTCTTTCCACCTTTGACAAAAGAGGGAGAGAGAAAGAGAAACTGGACATGATGTGGAGAGCCCTGGCAATGGGTCTCTTGTAAACACAAGGTGTGTATGTTAATAGCTGTCATGAGGCTCCTGGGAATTTTCACGGATGACAAGGCTGGGCAGCTTCTAGACTGAAGGACAGGCTGTGGTTTGAGAAAGTTCTCCAAGGAACAGGTATGTCTGGAGGTTAGTTGTTCTCTTTGAGAGTCCCCAAGCAGGAGGTAGCAGGGGAAGGGGCCTGAGTGCATGGCATTGGGGAAGCCCGGGGAGCAGAGCCCTGTTTCAGGCCCTCATGACCCCATGGTCTGTGTCTTGAGATGCTGCTGAGTTATGGGAGGGCGTGGATAACTGAGAGTGGATAATCCCCACTGATGTGGCACAGCTGAGAAAGGTGTCATGTTCTAAGGACTACGTGTTGTCCCCTGTGCTTCTGCAGAGTAGAGTGTGGGAGAGGGCGGGCCAGTGCTCCCCGCTCCCTGATCCACAAGGATCAGTCTGTGTGGCGCCTGCAGCCACTGAGCTCCCACAAAGTTCTGTGAACCTCTGTCTTCCCATGTGTTGTCACTCTCTGCCTGTGTGGAATTCCCAGTCCCGACCTACTGTCAGCCCTTAAAAGGTATCCTGACCCTCTTTCTCAGCCATTCTTTTACTTGCTTTTAAGAGGTTTTAACTACTATGCGATATTTAGAGAAGAAAAATCAGAAAATGCAGATAAGCAAAAAGGAGAAACTAGAACTCACCTATAATCTCATCACTTGGCGATAACCTGAGTTAGCGTCCTGAAGTGTATGCTACGACTCTTCTCCTTAAAGTGGATCCTAGCATGTACCTGCTTTGCAGCTCATCTCCGTCCATGTCCTATTTCCTATGTCTTTCCATATTAGTCAGTATGATATTTTTAATGACTGTTTAACATTTCACCTTAGAGATGGCCCATAATTTATTCGATTGCTCTGCTGAGGGCTGGAGGTTGTCTCCAGTGTTTTGTTATTACAAACAACACCCCAATTAACCAAATGCCATGCAGCCCACTTTTTGCCCCTGCAGAGGGCCTTGGGGAAGGGATTGCTGGGTCCTCCCTCTAGAAGGCTGAAGCCCAGCGTCTGTTGAGGATGTTGATACTGAGCTTGGGCCTAGTATTTTCTTTGAACCCTGATCTGCTGAGCACTCACTTAGTCTGAGCTTTTCAGCCTCATTTTATGAAGTTCTTGGCTACAGTACCCTCTTGGATCTGTTCCCATCCAAATCTTTTGTGTCCAAGCCTGCCTTCCTTCTGCTTCTATCGGCCCCTAGTTCTTTCCTGCTGATGGTGGTGGCACCTCCCACTTTTCCCAGTGTGGACAGCTTGACCTCTGCCTATAAGCCTGAACCAGGCACTTAGGACCTCAGGCTTGAGCTGCTGTGAGTGGTTAACCCCTTCCTACCTGTCTTATTTTAACTAAAAGGAGGGTAAAATGGGGCCAGGAGCTGCATCTTTGTGTCTTTCTATGTCTGTTACTCCCCTAAAGCATCAGCAAAGGGCCAGGAACATCATAGGTACCCAGTGAACCTGTGATTTCTGAGCACCAAAATGTTGGTGGCACATGTGCCTCTCCAGCCCCAGAGCGAGCTGCCTCTTTTTGTATGGAGAGGGGTGAGGGGCAGGCCAGGTCCCTTCCTGCTGTCCCTTTTCCTACACCTTCCTTCACTGCACACCTTCTCACCTGCAGGTCTTGGGTCCTGAGGCTGCTGGCGGACTATGGGTACAACAGCCAGTACAGCCCAGCAGACGGTCTCGGCGGGCAGCCCCTTCGAGGGCCTCCAGGGCAGCGGCACTATGGACAGTCGGCACTCACTCAGCGTCCACTCCTTTCAGACCACAAGCTTGCACAACAGCAAGGCCAAGTCCATCATCCCCAACAAGGTGGCCCCTGTTGTGATCACGTGAGTGGTGGGTGGGGCGGTGGTGTGTGCCCCTGTCCCTGGAAGACACGCCTCTCTGGACCTGCCAGGGGGTGTGGTGGCGTACAGCGTCCTTCACACATACAGACTACTTTCAGTTTCATAGATGAAGACACTGAGAGGCCCAGAGAGGTTAGCAGTTTGCCTGGAGTCACATAGCAAGTGGGTGGCGAAGCTGGGTCTCTGAGCCCATGTTATATGCCACATCCACAGTGTCAGGGAGCATGGAGGAGGGGAATGGCTGGAAGGACTCCCTTTTGAAAATAATTTTTGCCTGAAATTTTCATAGAAAGTTTATATACTTAGATGCATGAAATTTAGATTTTTTTTCATAGGCAGTAATTATGGCTCAAAACTGAGGTTAGTACCAGGCTGTGTAAGGAACTTGAGCTGGAAAAGCTGGAAATTGCTAGTGGCCTCTCTGAATTAGGGTTTGTTCTGGCAACATGTTTGAGAGGGACCTGGACACACTGCATGAGTCCAGAGGAAGAGGGCCAGCTACGGGGCCTGTACACCCCATCTGCCTTGTGGGGCTCAGATGAAGGACTAGATGCTGGGGAACCCTGCTGGGGGGACAGGAAGCTGGAAGGGACACTGGATCGTCTCCTGGTGAGTTGGGAAGCTTCATGCTTTCCATCACATCTGCCTACCGCACTCCCTGCCTCTGGGCTGTCCAGGACACAGGAAGCACGACATGGTGAGCTAAGAATTAAATATGTCCCCCACATTGAAGTGTGGCAAAGATCTAGCAGATGGGGCCTTTTGTATAAGGAAACCTGAGGGTGGGGATGATGATCCTGCCTGCTAGCTTTGGGACTTGGCAGGAAAATTATAATAAGTTACTGTGCTCATGATGAAGAGAGGAGAGGAGAGGCTATAGAAAAGAGACCTGACACTAGTCTCTGCGCTGACAGATGACAAAAGCAGGTTTGGCTCTTGAGGCATAGGAGACACATGCTCCAGGCCTGGCCTGCTTCTCCCTTGCTCTGTGACCTTGGGCAAGTCCTTTCTTCCCTTTGGGCCTCAGTTTCCTTATCAGCGTTAGCAGAGATGACACTCAAAATGTTTAACCCTGTGTGGTGGCTCAGAATAATTTTTGACCATTGTGGGTAAGGCCTAAAAGAAGCTGTGAGTGCTGTACTCCTTGGTTTGTAGGGTGTTTGATGGGACCTTTGCAGATCATCCAATCAAGGGGTCAGCAAACTACCTCCTGCAGGCCAAATCTGGCCTATTACCTGTTTTGTAAATAAAGTTTATTGAAATATTACTGTTTCAATTCACTTACATAGAGTCTGTGGGTGCTTAGTGTTTCAATGGCAGAATTGGGTAGTTGCAATAGAGGCTATAACCCACAAAGTCTCAAATATAGGGCTACTAAAAATGTATTCAAGTTTTGTTTTGTTTTGTTTTGTTTTTTTTGAGACAGAGCCTCAAGCTATCCCCCTGGGTAGAGTGCCATGGCATCACAGCTCATAGCAACCTCCCTGGGCTCAAGCGAGTCTCCTGCCTCGGCC